AACAACTAACTTTCTTTTTGTAGTAGTAGTTATCACAACTAATCTTTATTGCTATTAACTGATAGAAACATTGTATTTCTAAGGATGCAATAAAGTTATTATTATTATTAATCCTGCAAATTTCAAACCAGTGTCCAAATCACTTTATTCCATCCAGAGACGACTGAGACATCTCCGCAGCTTATCAGCAAGAAACATAACGGTGGAAAAAAATAAAGGAGAAAAAGAGAAGTTGATTGAAACCTATTTTACATTTCATATGACAAGGAAAGGCGAAGGTATGACTTTCTGTATTTTGTTGGCGAGGTGGTTGCATGTTTTATTCTTTTTATTTGTCTATTTGCAGAAAAATATTATGAGGTTCAAATGTAAAGTCAAATGCAGCTTGTAATTGTGAATGTTTCATCACTATCACAATACCATTACACTTGGACACTCATCCTCTGTCTCTGATGCTAGAAATTGAATTTGAGATGCAATTACAAAAACAAGTCTCACAAATCCCAAATGCAGCATGAAGATCTATTCTGATTTGCTGCACAGAGATTCAACTGCAGAAAAGATTGCAGATAAAAAAAGGTTCTCCCCAGAGTGTTATAGAACTCTAACAATTTTTGAATACAATAGAGGTGATTTGCATAGTATATTGTTATGCATATTAGCTCTGTTATTAACCTGGGGAGAATACTGAATACCAGTTCAGATGATGATGCCGTCAGCTGACAATGTTATGGTGATTGAAAGGTACCGGTATAAGGTATAGACCAATTGCTGACTTTAGTTTTGAAATGCCATTGCAGAAAAAAAATGTTGTCATTATCGATTAATGGATCTCATCATATTTTGAAATTTTGACTTTACAAGTTTAACCAAAAAATGTTTTCTCTGACATCATTAACTGACAATAGGCATTAAACTGACTGTACTTGTTCATATTTTACTAACCATGGCAAGTATATATATTTATAACATAAGAGAGGTGAGGGGTGATAAATTTTGAAGACAAACAATTTGCACATGATCAAAATGAACATTGTACACAAATTTGACAGTCAAAAAATCTCATGCATTTAGGAAAGCGAATAGCTCAAAAAAGGAAAATTATAGTTTGCACAGTTTTTCTATAATTTTCAAAATTGAATGTCACTCCTAAGTTTAATTTACTATAGTACAAGTATATATCTACTAGTACTGTATTTGCTCTGTTTGAAGTGCATCTTCAGTAAAAACACATATAAACCAAAAATCACATTTGTTGTTTATTGAATAATTAAAATATTATTTATTTTGACCAAATAAAAGCATTTGTAATTTATCTACATACTAAGTGCATGCGCTATTAACCCTTTTCCGGTCAAGTCGGTGAAAAACCGCCGTCAATATGGGTATGCTAGAATTTCCCACTCCAGCTAGCTAACTGGTTAAGTCGTTGAAAAACGGCCTGTTATTTAGGTTGCTCAGACGGTCAAGCGTTTATAATACGTTGTACGGAACCTGATATTTTACACTTGCGAAATTATGGAGGGAGAGAATTTGTTTTCGATTACGCCAAGTCAAATAAATTAACCAAGTAATAAAGAATGTAATTCTATACTCTTGTCTGCTCATTTCACTATTTTACCGTCACAACGCGACGTTTGCGACGACGTAAAAAAACCGCCTTGACCACATTGCAAACTGCAGCATTACAACCGTATTTGAACGACACGATTCACGGTTATAACGGTAGTAACGTATTTTGACCAGCTTGGCAAATAGTCCCGGCACTTAGAATGAATAGCATAACGGATTCCAACGGCTGAGCTTGGAATGTCGGCAATCACCAACGTAAAATGACCGGGACAGCTGGTGGGAAATATTAAAGTCCACGTGATTTCACCGTCTGAGCTAGCATATGCAATTTT